AAAAACACCACAAAAAACGAAAAAAATAAAATGGTGAAGGGAAAGAAGCCACAGAAAAAAAGCTGATAACAGTTAAAGAAATGGTTTAGCTTAAGCAAAGTTTACTATACTAGATCTACTTATTACTAAGAACTTTCTTTCCAAGCACCCAAAGCCCATAACGATGAGATATTCCCGCGTGCCAAATTTCCATAGTTTTTTCTTACGAATATCTGGCCCAAAAAGTTTTCCGAGGAGAAACAGATCCCAATCAATGTAGTTGCCTGTGCAACAGATAAGGCACCGTCGATGACAAGTCAGTACCGTGGATTTATAAGCTTCTTGAAGAAATCAGTCCTTGGAGTACTTACTGTTCACTGTGTCGTTCACAGACAGCATTTAGTGGCAAAAAACCCGAGTGATAGTCTGCGTGACACACCGGCTATTGTCACCAAGTGTGTGAACAAATCAAATTCCACGCTTTGAATTCGAGATTATTCCAACAACTGTGCACTGAAAATGACGAGAACTTTCAATGCTTATTTTTGCACACTTAAGTCCGGTGGCTCTCAAAAGAAAACTGTTTTAACACAATTGTTCTGCCTGTTTGACTCTGTGCAGGAGTTGTTTTTTTCTTTCAAGAAACAGACTGTGATCTCTGTAATAAACTGAAAGAACACAAGAACAACATAACGTTCCTCACAGATCTTTTCACAAAGTTCAACCAGGGCAGCATGCAGCTGCAGTGGGATGACACCAACCTGATCAAGGCAAATTCAATGCTTTTGCCATTCTTGTCGAAATTGGAAATGTTCCGCCGAAATATTGGCAGAAGAGAATTTGCTCAGTTTCCTAGCTTGGCAGAGACACTGAAAGAAGGGCGCGTGTCTGACGAGGAATTAAAAATATATATACCAACCACCTCAAAGAGGTGCCCACTATTATGAAGACGAGATTTACTGATACTTTTTAATTGGAAATTCCAGACTGGGTAGACCCATTCTACACTGAAACTGACGGTAACTTGCCAGTAGCGATTGAACAGTAGCTTCTGACAATGAAAAGTGACTTTTGAAATCCAACCGTTGTTCAAGAAGTCGTACCAGTCATTCTGGTCGAAAACTGTTGTGCAAGACAAAAAATTATCCTTCCCAGTGGGAAAAGATCAAGTCGTTGCTCACCGCTTTTCCAACGATCTTGTCAGTTTGACATTGTTTGAGCGTGTGAAATCCACAGCTTGCACTGTATGCTTCCTCGGAAGCCGAGAATGTTTCAGAGTGTTTTCAGAGGGTCTCTTGGGTTAACAATGCACGTAGTTGTAAAACGTATAGAGCTTGCTGTAGAGCTTTATTATCATCATCATTAACAACCCGAGCAGCTTGCCGACGATATATAAAACACTTACCGTAATAGAGTGCTCTTTTTATATCTTACCCTCTCTTTCTCCTGTTTGTCTTTCACAGCGACCACATTGTGAAGATCTTCGACAAGTACACCGCCAACAATGTCCGGGTACTCAGCAAAGCGCATGCGCTGGAGATGCTAAAGGTAAGTGGACTGTTGAAATGAAATGTTGACATGGCATATGTTTAACGTCCCTATCAACTCTATCAGGTCATTGAAGAGGAAGGACCTCCGAGTTTAACGTTCATCTCCGAAAGGACGGAGCCAAATGAGAAATTCAAGTAAAATGCCTTTCCCAAGGACACAAAGTTGGACAGAGCTGAGGCTCGAACCACCGACACCACATACGTGCACTGTGAGAACTACCGTTCAAAGTCCTGCTGTCTCTCGTTTTGCATACTGCGTCAAATTTTCTACGTTTTGATTGAATTTGAATCGTAATAACTTTTTTAGTTTATAGTCCGATTATAATGATTTAAACGGTGAATTTCATCATTTCTATAGCTCTTTCTGACCCAACGAAAAAAATCTTTAAGGCAATTTGAATTTTTTCTTTGCGGTACTTGCTTGTAGAATCTTTCTATGGGATCATAAACCTACATGTATCATAATATCATATACTGTGGACTCTGATGTAATTCCAGTTCTCCGTGGAGTGCACAATTCCTCTCTGTTTGGAACCACCAGATAGGAGGAAAAGGTTGTTACATGGGCACTCGACTATAGTGAGACTGGTGTTGTGCCCTGCATTTACGCACCCATGATGTACACCAGCGCAGACAAATGTTTCTAGTGAGAAAGAGGGTCGACCATGAAACTGCTATCATGCGATAGTATTGTTGGAAATTTCACCATCTTCCAACAACGATGGAAACAAATGATGAAATTCACCTAGTGTATCACGCTTTCTTTTGATGGCAAGCACGGACAATCTTCTTGTCTTGGTTTTCATTTTTTGTCTGCGTCTCAAAAGCAACAACAACAATTATTTTCTTCTTCTGCCACACACCATATTTGCAAGACGGCGGTGTCTGACCGCCAAACTCCGGTGTCTGACCGCCAAACTCCGGTGTCTGACCGCCAAACTCCGGTGTCTGACCGCCAAACGCCGGTGTCTGACCGCCAAACGCCGGTGTCTGACCGCCAAACTCCGGTGTCTGACCGCTAAACTCCGGTGTCTGACCGCCAAACTCCGGTGTTAATATGGTCGGCCGCACTCGGCGGAAAACGGCGGGTCTGGTCTGACTGTCGGTGTCGGACGTTACTATGGTTCTACCTTTACCTGCTGTCTACAGTCGGGCAGGGATAACTCAAATGCTGTGTGGATTGACAAATTTTGTTCAACATTATCCCACCAGCCGACCTCATAGCATTCTGGAACAATCTCAATTTCCAAGGAAGCATACGATGCAAGCTGCAATTTTACAGGCGCTGAAACACAAAAATACTGACGAGGTATCAGTCCAGGAATGACAAATAGTCTAGTATGAGCTATCCGTGATTTCGAGTTTTCCATGTTCCTGTTATCTGCGCCTGACTGTATTTCTCTCTCTCTCTTTCACACTCTCTCTCTATCTCTCCCTCTCTCTCTCATCTCTCTCTCTCATCTCTCTCTCTCATCTCTCTCTCTCATCTCTCTCTCTCTCTCTCTCTGTCTCTCTGTCTCTCTCTCTGTCTCTCTCTCTGTCTCTCTCTCTGTCTCTCTCTCTCTCTCTCTCTCTCTCTCTCTCTCTCTCTCTCTCTCTCTCTCTCTCCCCCTCCCTCCCTACCAGTGTCTATAGTGCAGCGGTCAGCCGCTTTAACACAATTGCTGTCTCACACAGTAGACGCGAGATCGAATGCCGAGTGGGGAGAATGTTTATCGAGTATTTCTATATATGGATGTTGCACCCCCCCCCCCCCCACCCCCTCCCAGCCTGAATTAGCCAGTGATCTAACAGTGTCGATGAGGGAGGGCCGGAAAAGGGGGGGGGGGGTTAATAAAACCTACATTTAAAAACATTTTCTCTTTCACCTCCACCCCCCCCCCCCACCACCACCACCACGACCACCCTCCTGACCATCCCAGGCGGAGTTCGGGCTGGAGGGTGACGAGGCTGAGGTCATGTTCAATACCTTCGACAAAGACAAGAACGGCAAGCTCAGCGTCTGGGAGTTCCAGATGTTCTGTACCTGTATGGGGGAGCAGTAAGTTTTTTCTGTGGGCTTTTCGTCTGTTTTTCGTTATTTAAGTTTTTTCTGTGGGCTTTTCGTCTGTTTTTCGTTATTTAAGTTTTTTCTGTGGGCTTTTCGTCTGTTTTTCGTTATTTAAGTTTTTTCTGTGGGCTTTTCGTCTGTTTTTCGTTATTATTATTATTATTTTTTTTGTAGGCGTATTTCTTTCGGTTTATCGCTGTTTTCGGATGAACCGTGTTAAATATCAGTGGACTCCACAATATTGCAACTCCCCCCCATCCCCATCCCCTAAAAAAAAATCTTCCCCCCACCCCCCCCCCAAGCAATGACAAAAAAAAAATGTAATAAATTATACGTATAAGAACACAGAGGGGAAATGGGAAGCATTCGTTTGTACATTTATTGATTGTCTTGAACAGGCGGTCCTTAGAGCAGGTTTGACTGTATTTTGCTAGCTGTTAATCGTCGGCCAGTTTAGATGTGTTACTGGTGAGCCGCACAAAATTTTGAAAAAAAAAAGATAATTGTAGTTTTTTAATCTGTAGTATCGGTTTCATGTACTCTCGAAATATTTTGTCCAAATTTATATATTCATATTCTATTTTCTAAATGAGGTTAAGGAGAGAATTAGACATACTTTAAGTGCCGCTTTAAAAAAAAAGAGTTTTGCTACCAGGAAAAAATTGCTTTCTGGGCTTAGGACATTTGAACGCTATGTGTTGATGCGGCCTATGATTTATTTCCCCATGTTTTACATCATTTTCAATACAGTAACGTTATGATTGTAGGGGCGAACATTTAACAGAACGTCCATCTCTGATAAAAACCAATCTAAACGGCTGGAGAACCGTGACAACTGCTCGAAATTGAAACAACAGCACCCTTCAAGAACCCGCTGTTCCCGTTTCACGTAACTGCTACCCTACTGTAACCCCCGATGTTGCAGTTCAACAATGGGAGTAGCCTACATAATAATAATTATTACGTTTTATGTGCACCGTCAAATTGTCTAAGATGGTCACCCATTGTCGAGGAGAAAAGTAGTAATCACAGAGAGGTGGGTGTCTTGGACAGTGTCGTTATACATTTTTTTAATGCAAAGGGGAAGTGGGAAGCGTGAGTTTGTACTACAGGGGGTTGTCTTGATTCAACCATATGAACGCCCGACACGTACGGTCAGACCAGACCGTCTTCGGGCATCAAAGAATGCGCACCGGCTCTTTAGTAATGGAAGGTAACGAAAAACGGTTTCGGCTACCATACTGACGCCCGACGTCCTGTGTCGTCCTCGGTCAGACCATCTCCGATAAAATATGTTTCACTCTCTTCCAACAACTGCGGAAACAAATGATGAAATTCACCTAGTGTATCACGCTTTCTTTGGATGGGAAGCACGGAAAATCTTCTTGTCTTGCTTCTCCTTTTTTGTCTGCATCTCAGAAGCAGCAACAACAACCATGTTCTTCTTCTATCACACGCCATATTTGCAAGACGGCGGCGGTGTCTGACCGCCAAACTCGGTGCCGGCCGTTTTCCGTCAGGTGCGGCCGACCATATTAACACCGGAGTTTAGCGGTCAGACCCCGCCGTCTTGCAAATATGGCATGCGGTAGAAGAAGAAAATTATTGTTGTTGTTGCTTTTGAAACGCAGACAAAACAACAAAAAAAACAAGGCAAGAAGATTTTCCGATCTAAAGAAAGCGTGATACACAAGGTGAATTTCACCATTTGTTTTCGCAGTTGTTGGAAGATAGTGAAAAATTCCAACAATACTATCGCATGAAACATAGCAGCTTCAATTCAATGAACTGCCAGAGATATGCAGAGCTGACCAAGAACTGCTAGAATTCTGTGTAGTGTCATTGAGGCAGGAAAGGGGACACAACTAGGCAGAGATTAAATCATCATTAAATTACCTCCCATCTCGCCCGACGGACCGTCTTCGATAGAACATGTTTTATCGGAGACGGTCTGCTGACCGGGGACGACACAGAACGTCCGGCGTCAGTATGGGTGCCGAAACCGTTTTTGTTACCTTCCATTACTAAAGAGCCGGTGTGCATTCTTTTGCGCTCGAAGACGGTCTGGTCTGACCATCCGTGTCCGTCGTTAATATTAATGTTTGCGGCCTTAGACTAGTTAGAGCTGATTCGACAGATCTTACTCTAACTGTCACTTATTTTACCTCTTCAGCGCGCAAGAAATCATCACCAAGTTCAAAGAACTGGACAAAGACGGAAGTGGTCAACTGGACGGTGAGGAGGCGCGCGAGGGTCTGAAGGAACTCAAGACAGGCACTGGTCGTCTGCTGTCGGAAAAGGAAGTTGATTTCTTCATCCAAACGGCGGGAGACGGTGGGGTCATTGACCTCGGACATTTTACTAACCTCTTGTATCGTCTCAAGCTTTACAACGCCCCAGCACCCAAGTAAAAAAGGAAAACAATAAAACAGATGTTTGCTGGAAATGCCTTGTTTAACCCCTTCACTGCCACGTTCACGTATTAGTATGTACTTGCCTGAGACATGCACATTTATTGTTCTGTGCACTTTTTTCAACTGGCCAATAGAGGAAGGTTTAGACGTAACTGCTGCTTATGCAGTTGCTTATTATTCTTAAAAGAAGAGAATGATTTGGCTTTGTTTAAATCTCTTGAATAAATGTTTTGACGTAAATAGACGTAAATAGACACATCTCGGCAGTGAAGGGGTTAAAATCCAGAATCCAAAAGTTCTTTTTCCTCCATACACATCAATACGACTTAATTTTGTAATGCATTGTTGTAAGTATGCAAGTAAACATATGTTTTTGGTTCTGAGTTTGAGTTCAGACGATCGTTTGATGGATCTCGATCAATTCCATTGCAATATTTTCTACGTCTTTGCCTGTTTATTAGATTGTTTGTTTGTTTATTTGTTTATTTGTATTTCTTTGGATCTGTTGAAATTTACAGCAAGGCAATATATGATGATGACGGCCACGTTTGGTAGGAAATAGCAGATTAGGATAAAAGTAACACAGAAAAGAAATAGAAGGAGCAGACCACAGTAGAACACCTACCAACTGCCCGCTTGTGTGCGGCTGAGTCTTGGGTCGACGCTGTGGTCTATGTAGATCTGTGGTGGAACAGCTGGTTTGAATTTGCATAAATCTATGGAGAACGAGAGTATAACGAATGCTAAAGAACTGGTCTGTCTCTCCAAGAGAAACATAGCATAATAATGCCCCTGTTTTTTAACACGATGCTATCTTAGTATAGCTAATATTATGGCTGTGTATTTCAGTAATTTCTCTGTAATTGATTTCGGGGGCATGGGGGTGTTTTACTGCTATCTGCAATGATAGAAAGAGAGTGGCGTTTGCATCTTATACACAAGTGTAGATCCGCATGTCTTTTTTTTTTAAATTCTGTAAACAAAAATTCTTGTAATCCTTTGCAATTTTTCTCTGTCTGTGTGAATACTTGGATTCTGTTAGAAAAGGTACGAGTATGATGACTCCTAAACAGGAGTTCTGTGTTTTGTTTGAATCTGTGGTCAACCAGTGTTCAACTAACAAGTGTTTGTTTGGGTGTGATGTGTGAGGAAATCTTTAATCATCATTGTTTTATCCTGTATGTATGTGTATCATTCGACATTTATCATTAATTACTACAATAAAAATAGCGGCTTCTCTGAAGATATCAGAACAAATGCATCATGTTCAAGATCTTCGAGTCTGGACAGCTCTGAACAATTCCTCGCAATTCATAAATACTCCAATGTAAATTATGTTGCTTACAATACATCAGATACAGCACATCTCATCATACTCATAAAAAACAATCGCTTTCTTTAAAACAAATGCATGAAACTTAAAAGCCACATCATGCACAAGTCAATGTTTCTCTTTCTTCTCTTCTTCTATACATTCATATGAGTTTTGTTTTGAGTATGAGCAGATTTGAAAGTACAAAGCCATACCTTCAACATCTACAGATAGTTCTTATTAAAGATCCTATCTTTACTTCATGTTAATACATGTAATACTATTGCTAATGCGAATAGTTAGCTCATTTATCAATGTCTGACGATCACTAGTGTATAGACAGAAGATAATATATTATTATGAATTTCCAAAGAGAAATTACTAGAAGAAATAAGGATTCGGGTGATTTGTGGCTACAGCTATGGCCAATGAGATCAATTCTGGCAGAGCAGAGTTTGCTACATTTTGAGCATTTAAAAGCTTCACCAGTGGATGTACGTAGCTTTCTGACTTCTTTATTGGCATCAGCCTTTCTAATTCATTACGCCTCATGACGTGTTACCACCAGAGAGTAATACATGTACAAATAAAAGAAGGAGAGCGATGAGGACGATAGATGTTTGATAGGAAAGAAGGAACAAATCATGCCAGAGCAGCCGCCAATCACCCACACCTAGTGGGTCTGTCCCATGCATTGGTGTCAGGGTTGATGGTTTACACAGAGAAAAAAAATCTCCTGAACGGAGAGGGCTTTTTTTGTTTATTCTATTTCTGCTTTTCTTGACTTGTATTGATCTATTTATTATGGGGTTATAATATTCTAATGTGCTCATCAATACTTTGTACATTGCCGCAATTGCTGATTTTCCTGTTGCTTAATTCTGTTCCGTATTGAGCTCTGAACATGCACACTGTATACATGTATGAATAATGAAGACTCCAATGAAAAAGGCAGGTAAGTCACAATTTTTAATGAGGTTTTTTTCCCTCTTGCTGCATTCTTTGAAAATTTTTGGTACTTTCATCTCTGCAAATGATCCCACGTACTACCCAGCAGTCTTGCGCTGCCATATTAAGACAAAGAAATGATGTACTCACTATGAAATACAGACTTTCAATTTTTTCTTTCCTAAAACATGTCTTATCTACTTTTTCAACGGAGTCTTCATAATAGTTGTATAGATACGTGTATGAACCTTTTTTGCATGCTCAAATCTTTTTTTACACTCTATTTTTCTGTTATTGTACATTACTGTTTATGCTGTTTGATTCTGCTCAATGTTACACCTTGCACCAGCACTTGTTTGCTTTCTTTGCCACCAGCCTCACAACATTGGTGCTCTCTCTACTTTTATTTGATCTAGCAAAATCTTCAGAAAAGTGGAAAATGAAATGTTCAGTTCAAATGTCAATAAAACTGAATAGGTTTTTCCAAATGAAAGATTATGCTGTCATTCTTCAGAAATCAGTACCTGTATGCATCCTGATAAGAACAATTTGAATCAGAACGTGAGAATAAATTTCCAACTGGTCTGAATTGAGTAAGTCAAGTATGTTTTGAAGCTTATAAAGTATGTGCGATTTATATAACAGGCAATGCAACATTACACGATTTGCACACGATCCCTAATTTAAAAAAAATAATTCTACTCTACTTAAAGAGAAGCTTAAACACGGGATGAACTCAAGAACCTCTATTTTTGCATACATATTATCAATTAATTAAAAAAATGAATTATAATATGTAGTTCTGTGGTGTTTGTCTTATTTTTACAGTGCAAAGCTCTTCAGGGGGCTCTCGTGGCCTAGAGGTTAAGGTGTTGGCCTCTCATTCAAAGGTCCCGGGTTCGAATCCGGGTAGTAACCGAAAAATTTTCTTCTCTAAATCGGTCTACTTTCACCTCTTTTCCTGCTCTCTAGCAATGTTCTATAGTCTGCTTTCGTCTCCTCTTTCTGCCCCCACTCCCTAATCTCCTTTGCCCCCTTCCTCTGGGCTCCTGACTCTTTCTGCAGCCTTTCTACTGCTACTACTTAGCTCCTCCTTACTGCTGTCTTTCAGCCACATCCCTGATCTTCTGGTTGGAAAGATCTACACCTAGCCTTCTCGGGCAAGGGCGAAAAATCTTGGAGGGCCCGTGTGCAAGTTTTGCACACGTTAAAGATCCATTGGTGGTCTAAAATCGATAAGAGTAGGCTTCGGCCGAAATTTCCTATCAACTGAAAAAGTTTAATGTGTCCCGCGCGCTCATATGACCTTATGCAATTGCGAACGCCGTAAAACACTTACGAAAACAAAAAAACAAAAAACTTCATATTTTTGGTTTAGTTTAAGTAAGAGTTTTACGGCACTTGCAACACAAATGGGTCAAATAAGTGTTGAAATTAGATATGTTTATTTTGTAAGTCTTTTACGGCGCTCGCAACTGCGTAAGGTCATAATGCGCGGGGCACATTAACTTAAACATTTTTCAGTTGGTAGGAAATGTTGAATTTTGCCCGGGTGGCGGCCGAAGCCTACTCTTATCGATTTTGGACCTCCAAAGAATCTTTTATGCTCGCAACTTGCACATGGGACCTCCGAGATTTTTTTGCCCTTGTCCGAGAAGGTTAGGTGTAGATCTTTCCTACTATAAGCTCATGGTGTGGCTGAAAGACAGCAGTAAGAAGGAACCAACGAGTAGCAGTAGAAAAGTCTCAGAGGAAAGGGAAAAGGAGGTGAGGGGGTGTGGGCAGAAAGTGGATATGAAAGCAAGCGATAGTACATTGCTAGAGAGAAGGAAAGGAGTTGAAAGGAGACAATTTCAGAGAAGAAAAATTTCTGTCGCTCTCCAGATTCGAATCCGGGACCTACTGAATGAGAGGCGAAAAACCCCCCCCCCCCCCAGGAGATGTTTCGAGAGAGTAATATACACAAAGAAATGAAGAAAAGGTAAGGAGGGTAGATGTTTGAACTAGTTGGTTTGTTGGTTTGAGTAGATAGAAGCACATTGACATGGTAACGGTCACTTGATGAAAAAAAAAAAAAGCAAGATAGACATACAGACAAAAATGGAGGGAAAGAAAAGAAATAGTAGCCATCAGAGCCACCCTCCAACCACTCACACACAAGCCTCAACAGTTCTTTCGTTTTAGTTTTTAGCTTAAGTAAGTGTTTTACGGCACTTGCAACACAATGAGGTCATATAAGTGCCGAAGATTAGAGGCTTTACAAGAGAGTAACAAACACATAAAAAGAAGGAGGGGAGAGAGAACGACGATAGAAGTTTAATAGGAAAGAAGGAGCAAACCACACCAGAGCATCCACCAACCACCAACACAGTTTTTTCAATTATATTACTAAGTGTTTAGCCGATCACAGGACACTTATAATATAATACCCAAGAAGTAGTAGATCAATTACCAATATCGATGAGAGAAACTATTAAAATGCAACAATTATATAAGATAATATTAATGACACTTATTGCATGTGTGTAGACTTTATATAAAGTTGCCGTGAGAACAAGGGTCGTGTATAACAACAAGATAGTTCACTCCTCTCTTTGAGCCAATTAAAAAAGTATTCTCAAAATTCGGTGGCGCCCTCTCTTCGAAAAAGGGCGAATTTTGCGAACGAACAGAGCTACCCTACTACTAGTGTGAAAAACAATGAAAGTGAAACCTACTCCGACCTATATCTTTAACTCTACTCCTAGCCCTGTAACTAAAAAATAAGTGACTGTTGTTGTCTGTTCTGTCATATTGTGTTGATTGATTGACTGATTGAGTGGGTGTTTTACGGCACTATCGACTCAATTTTGGTCATGTAAGTGTCCCTGTTGTGTAGGCGAAGCTTAACCTAGCTGGAATCGATACATACACTTTACGACTGTTAGCTCCTCCATGATGGCGGAGAGCCCGCATCGCGTTAGCTCCTCCGTGGTGTCAGCAATAGGGTATTAGCGTAAGGGCGATAACATAGAGAACGCCGAAACTTAAGCGGCTGAAGATCGACTCGGACAGACGCCAGTAGGTGTCTGCTTGACTTCACATAGAGGCCGCCTAAAGCCCAGATCTAGATATAAGAACAAAATTACACCACAACACAGCTGGTATTTATGAAGCATTTATTTGGGGATAAAAAACAACAACCTCGAAATTCCTAAAATATTGCTTAAAATGCAATGCTGTTTCTATGCCACCCTAATTAGAAGACCCTGATTTAAAAAATGTAATTAGTTTTTGTCTACCGTGAAGCACCCGCTATGAAATGGCCATTTAAAATTGTCCCCAGTCCAGTCGGGTGACGTCACGTAAACCGCTCAACCCGAGTTGGTGACGGCGAGACGGCATTGAAAGTTTACGACCTCAGTGCTTTCTTGTCGCATCTCCATTTTTAATAACAGTGAAAGTAGTTCACAACAAAGAGTGAGCTTAAGAAAAAGTCACCATTTTCACTGTTAATAAATGGGGATACGACAAGAAAGCACTGAGGTCGCGAGTTGACAGCGAGACGCCCTTCCTAGTTTTTCGGCGTAATAAGAATGTAGTTCGGATTCCGACAAAACTGACAACGCCGATCCGAGCTTAATGCCGCCTGCAGTCTGCCAGCTCTATGTGGGGCAAGCTGGAAATCATAAGGGAATTTTTATACATTACCTATCGGCGCTTACTGAGTCAGTCTCCCAAATCGGCGTTCTCTATGTTTTCGCCCCTTAGCTCTCCATGGTGTCGTCAATGGGGTATCGCGTTAGCTCCTCCGTGGTGCTCCCATGGGTGGCATAGATCTCTCAGTTTTAGTAGAAGATTTACGGCGCTCGCAACTGCATAAGGTCATATGAGCGCCAGACGATTAGAGGCGTTACAAGAGAGTAACAAACATGAAAAGAAGCGGAGATAAGGACAACAAATGTTTGATAGGAAAGAAGAAGCAAACCACACCACAGCACCCGCCAACCACCCACCTAGATCTCTCAGACAAGGTTGGCCTTGACATGTAGGGTCGAAGCAGCCGGCCCCGTAAACGATTTGAAATTTCATCAAAAGGGGGCATAATATACACTACATGTACATAGAGATGTAGTCATAGAAAATGATAGAGACATAGACAAGGAGACATAGATGGAGACAGAAAGAATAAGAGACATAGACAGTGACATAGGCAGGGACAGAGACACAGACGGAGACAAAGACTTGATGATTGACTGATTGAGTTGGTGTTTTACGGCACTATCGACTCAAAGGAGACAAAGACAAAGACGGAGACAGAGACAGAGGCATAGACATAGACCTTGACCTTCAATAATTTATTTATAGAGGCACCAGCCACACTAGTCCAGGTGCTGCTTTAGCCTACACAGACACTGACATAGACACTGACATAGGCAGAGACAAAGACAGAAACAGAAGTGAGCTCTCGTTTTCCGACACCACTTTTTTTTTATTGATTGAGTAGGTGTTTTACGGCACTATCGACTCAATTTTGGTCATGTAAGTGCCAACGGCAACACATCTAGAATCATGTAACACCACTTTTCCACACTCACAGATTCACATTGTCTACATCACCAAAACTTTTCCTCTCTGCATTTACACGGGCTTGAGACCGTCACACGAAGTGAGGCTGCATTAAAAATGTTTGACTTTCTCCAAAAAGTCTTCCCCCCCCCCCTTTTTTTGGGAGGAATGGTGAGGGGAGATGAGACGCTGAGGAACAAAGACATAGAAAATCATTAGTGTACTTTAATGATTGATTGAGTAGGTGTTTTAAGGCACTATTGACTCAATGTTGGTCATGTAAGTGCCAACTGCAACAAATCTAGAATCATGTCATGTTTTAGTAAGAGTTTTTCGGCGCCCGCAACTGTACACCGTCATATCATCATGTTAAAAAGAAATACAGACATTTATGAAAATTGTGTAAATGTGGTATAAAAACTTATTTACATTTGTATTTACAATATCAATTTCAGTGTACGTATAGAAACTGACAACGGCAACGATACATTTCTATATCCTATCAAACAATCCTGTTTCTCGGAATAACGATGTCAAAAAGAGTTGCCATCCCAACATAATTTGAAGTATGGCAGGATGTGCCGAACTGTAAAACACGTGTTGCACGCCACGTGAAAAGGAGCTTCCTTTCCTTCGAGTAAATGTAATGTACTTTAAAACATGGTCAAATTATATTTATAGAGAAAGAGAGAGCAACAAGTGAGAGAGCAAGAGAGGAAAAGAGAGAAAGAGAGAGAGAGAGAGAGAGAGAAAGAGAGAGAAAGAGAGAGAGAAAGAGAGAGAAAGAGAGAGAAAGAGAGAGAGAAAGAGAGAGAGAGAAAGAGAGAGAGAGAAAGAGAGAGAGAGAGAAAGAGAGAGAAAGAGAGAGAGAAAGAGAGAGAGAAAGAGAGAGAAAGAGAGAGAGAAAGAGAGAGAAAGAGAGAGAGAAAGAGAGAGAAAGAGAGAGAAAGAGAGAGAAAGAGAGAGAAAGAGAGAGAGAAAGAGAGAGAAAGAGAGAGAAAGAGAGAGAAAGAGAGAGAAAGAGAGAGAGAAAGAGAGAGAGAGAAAGAGAGAGAGAGAAAGAGAGAGAGAGAGAAAGAGAGAGAAAGAGAGAGAGAAAGAGAGAGAGAAAGAGAGAGAAAGAGAGAGAGAAAGAGAGAGAAAGAGAGAGAGAAAGAGAGAGAAAGAGAGAGAAAGAGAGAGAGAGAGAAAGAGAGAGAGAGGAGGTGAGAGAGAGAGAGAGAGAGAGAGAGAGAGAGAGAGAGAGAGAG